ATTACTGCTCTAAACGTTGCCTGGCATCAGATCTGAGCCCTGGCATGACCTTCGCACAGGGAAAACAAGGAGCAGTAGGAGTAACCAGAGCGATAATGTTGAAACATTACAGTAAGTGCAAGACCTGACCTCAGCACAGGAAGGTGAGGTTCTGTGACCTGGTGATACAACCTAAGTGGTGAAGCCGTTTTTTAAATGAATGAATAATAAATCAATCTGCATTACCCAGTTGTTTGTTAAATCAATTGTTTTGTAATCTCTTTTTATTGTCTGTGTAATGTAAATCAGGCGTGGCACTTCTCCAGGCTATCATTACTGTTGTTACGTCATGTGGGCGTATGTGATACCTGAGAATTCTATAAAACTATTCTCCTGGAATTCATTTAGGAGAAGTATACAATAGAATACTATTTTTTTTATCAACATTAACATAAAACAGTTTCAATGTCACCACACAGGCTGTTAAAGTTACAAACATGCCAGAGTCCAAGAGACATTCAGCGATGATAAGGAAGCAACTTGGGGCAAACTGAATCAACAGTTTCTGTGCTTCCTTGTTGCTCGGTGTTTTGCTTGGCATCAGATTATCACCACTGGGAAGAGAAATATGTGAAAGGGGTTTTTATATTAACATTTTATTCCTCACAGAGTACATGTCACTACCACTCCTATACCAGCCCTGATGCTACCGCCACACCTCCAGGTTCCTTTGAAAAGATGAAAAAGGGAGGCAGTAAGTTTCGAGATTAGAGTTTTGATATTTTCCCTTTTAGTGGATGTCACACCTCTTCTATTGAACTGAGCATCTCCACCTGACAAAAGTATGCTGCGCTTTTTGTGAGTTAACACCAGGAAGTGTGTATTAAATAAATTAAGAACTAGCTGAGAGATGACTAACTAAAGTAATAAGTAGTTCCTGGATAACACTGAATTTAGGACTGACTACATGATGAAACTGATCACCTCATGATGGGAGGTGGAACCATGCAAAGTGCAGGACTGTCAGACAGGGGGATGCGTGGTGGGTAACTCTCTTAATATAAATTAGGCCACGGACACCCATTTGATGAGATTTTTTTCTGGGACATCCATCTGAAAGATTCTGGCTGTTAAATATGATTAAGACCAGATCTGTGGATGTTAATTAGAGCTGCAACAAGTTGTCAAATAATCAAGTTACCAATTATTTTACCACTCGTTGCAGCAGAAAACTGTTTGCAACTGTTTTTAAAAATCAAGACCATTTTTTTAGTCATTTTTTTAAAGCAAAAAAGCCAAAATTTGCTAAATGTCATTCTTCTTTGATGTGAAAATTTGATGCTTTTCTTTGTCATAGATGATAATAAACTCAACAGAATTTGGATTAGTGGACTGTTGGTCAGTCACATATGATTTGAAGATATCATCACTATTTCACTATTGACAGACGATTAAATATGGAATGTTAACTGAATATCTAAAGAAATACAAATGCAAACAGGGTGTACATATCCAAACATAATGTATATGCAAATTTTGCAAGGTGAACATAACCATTTACTACCAGTAAATACCAGTAAGCCAGTAAACCAATGACCAGTGAATAATCTTTAGCTGCAGCCCTTAACAAGTGAGGAAATAACCATGTTAAACTTTAGAACAGTCACTCTTATGACTCTCACTCACACTAGGCTCACTTATATAGTGTATGAAATTGTGAATGTAAACTATTGCCCATTTTCTTCTGGGGAACATATGGAACTCCCTCAGGGACCCCAAGAACCACTGCTCTGGCCAGTGGGGCTCTGGTGAACCTGAGTGAGCCACCCAAAGTGGATCAGCAGCTCTGAGGCTTAATACAAAAAGTTGTTCCAGTGGATAATGATGAGTAAACAACAGAATCAAAGCTACCATGTTCACAAACCAGTCTGATTACATCAGAAATATGTGAACCTTCAGATATGATCATAACCACACCAGACATAAAAATGATGACTGAATACTTCCTCATTACTTTCTATTTTTGTGTTCCTCTCTGTGTAGTGAAAATTTGCATATCCACGATGAGGTCATTCAGGAAGACACTTCATTAATTGCCACTTAGTTTCCCCTTTGTTGCTCACTCATTCCTTACTAACGACTCAACCATTCTTAGGTAGGAGCAGTACAATTACACGGAACATAGCAACAGTACAATAAAACAAATACATGTCGAAGCAAATGTACAACTTCACTACAGAAATATTACATTAATTTCCCCAAATGTAAAAATACAGTGCTCCCACAAATGGATTACTGGCGGGCCTACTGGGCACAAGCCCATGCAGGTGCCCAAAATTGTATGCGGCCCCCTGGTCACTGATAAAATGTCACTCAAATTAATAGGTACAAACCTCAAAGAGACACAGAGAGACCAGAAAGACATGCAAAGGACCTAAAAAAGACAGAAAGGGATAAAAAGACACATTCACCTCAAAGAAACAAAAACAACTACAGAGACATGCAAAGGAACTACAAAGAGACACAAAACAACTACTAAGATACAAATATACCTCAAAGAGACACAACATGACCTCAAGGAGACACAAAAAGACTACAAAGAGATGCAAAAGAATAACAAAGAGATACAAAATGACTACAAAGAGACACACCACAAAGAGACACAAGAAGGCACAAAATAACCTTTAAACGACACAAAAAGACCACAAAGAGATGCAAAGGAACTAAAGGAGACAGAGCAGGACCACAAAAGACACAAATACACCTTAAATAGACATAAAATGACTTCAGAGAGACACAAACAACTACAAAGATACAAATATACATCAAAGAGACACAAAATGACAACAAGGAGTTGCAAAGAATCTAAGAAGAGGCACAAAGTAACCTCAGTGAGACACAAAACAACCAAAAAGAGATGCAAAGGAACTACAAAGAAACACAAAATGAACAAAAAGACACAAATACACCTCAAAGAGACATAAAATGACTTCAAAGAGACAAAAACAGCTACAAAGACATTCAAGAGAACTACAAGAGACACAAAACGACTACAAATTTTACAAATATACCTTGAGGAGTCACAAAAGACCAAAAATGTATGCAAAGGAACTAAAAGAGACAGAAAAGGACCAAAAAACACATAAATACATCTCAAAGAGACATAAAACGACTTCAGAGAGACACAAACTACTACAAAGATACAAATATTCCTCAAGGAGACACAAAATGACTTCAAATAAATGCAAAGAAACTAAGAAGAGCCACAAACTAACCTCAGTGAGACACAAAACAACCAAAATATATGCAAAGGAACTACAAAGAAACACAAAATGACCAAAACGACACAAAATCACCTCAAAGAGACAACTACAAACAACTACAAAGACATGCAAGGGAACTACAAGAGACACAAAGCGACTACAAAGATACAAATATACCTCAGAGAGACACAAAATAACATCAAGGAGACACAAAAAGACCACAAGGAGATGCAAAGAGATAGAGAAGGACCAAAGAAGACACGGATACACATCAAAGAGACAAAAACAACTACAGTCTCTCTGAAGTCACAAAATGACTTCAAAGAGATGCAAAGAAACTATGAAGAGCCGCAAACTAACCTCAGTGAGACACAAAACAACCAAAAAGAGATGCAAAGGAACTACAGAGAGACACAAAATGAACAAAAAGGCACATATATATTCCTTTAAAGAGACATAAAACGACTTCAAAGAGAAAACAACCGCAAAGACATACAAGGGAACTACAAAGAGACTCAAAACAACTACAAAGATACAAAGATACCACAAAGAGACACAAAATGACCTCAAGGAGACACAAAAAGACCAAACATATATGCAAAGGACCAAAGAAGACACAAATACACCTCAAAGAGTCATAAAATAACTTCAAAGAGATGCAAAGAAACTAAGAAGAGACAAAAAGTAACCTCAGTGAGACACAAAACAACCAAAAAGAGATGCAAAGGAACAACAAAGAAACACAAAATGACTACAAAGATACAAATATGCCTCAAAGAAGAGACACAAAATGACCAAAGATATATGCAAAAGAACTACAAGAGACGGAAAGGGACCAAAAAAGACACAGATATACCTCAAAGAGACAAAAACAACTACAGAGACATGCAAGCGAACTACAAAGAGACACAAAACAACTACCAAGACACAAATATACCTCAACGAGAGGCAACATGACTTCAAAGAGATGCAAAGAAACTAGAAAGAGACACAAACAGACCAAAAAGACACAAATATACATCACAAGAGGCATAAAATGTCCGCAAAGAGACATGAAGGCACAAAAAGATGCGTACCGACCAGAAAAAGATGCAAAATAAAAGAAAAAATAAGCAAAACCACCACAGCTTCTATGTAGGTGAGGCCTTTTGCATATCTCTACCCAGGGGCCCATCGGCTCGTAGTTCACCCGTGAGTGCACTAGATGAACAGAGATACTTTTATTCAGATGTTTTGGGATATTATTTTATCAGAGACAGGAAGCCAGAGGAGCCAAACAGTGTACCAGGAGAAGGTTTGGTGTTGGAGGTAATTATGGAAACCTCGTCGTCATTGTCAAGATGTTGCAGGCTCTGTTTCATGTAAACTCTGATTCTTCATTCACAGCCTAAAAGGCTGGTCAAGAGCCAAAGAGTCATGGCTAGACTTTACCAAATAAATGATTGACAGCTGAAACTATTTTTTTCAGCTACACTGTACACATGTCAAGCATTTATATGACAGCATCAAAAGGGTGAACCATCAAGTCACTGAAAGTGGACAAACCCCTGAATACCGCTGACGTTAACAGGTGGGTCCACAAATAATTGCGTTAATAGGCGCCTATCAATCTGTGACAGGTGAAGTGGTGACTGCCTGTGAGGCGGCAGGGCAGGGCGGTGCTGACAGGGACAGGGAGAGGGACAGGGGCGCTGCCAGAGGAGGCGGGGCCGCTGCTTCTCCAGGAAACAGCGCTTAAATGAACAGTGGGAGTGTGCAGTCCGTGTGGATTTAACGGCAGACACAGCAGCAGCATCACTCCAGTCGGGAATCTACGAGTTGTTTTCTCACAGAAGAACACCCAGTAAAGAAGGCAGAGCTTGAGTCATGTGTGGTAAGTTTGCCTTTTTAAAAATCCAGTTGATGTATTTGGAAACTTGTGGCAAGGAATCCCAAGTCCTTTACGCACGGAGCTGTGCAGTGCCCGGTGCGATGATAGGCTCTCTCAAGCCAGGGATTGGCAAAGTTGTCATCAAAATCGTCTCGTGTAGTTAGTCAAGAGATCGTTTTATAGTTTTGGTGGTAAGGGAAATAGAAACTCTGGCTTTAAACAGCTGGATAAATGGCTGTTTTATGAATTGCGTGGATTCCTGAGATGCTTCAACTGCAGCTGCGACGTGTCAACGTTTCCACACAGGGATATTGACAGGGCAAGTTATACCGGTTGGACTACAGTAAAAATACGTTCATGACGTGAATCACATCCCACTCGCCCTGACGACCTAAAGTTGAACCATTCCTACATATAGCTCCTTTTGAGAACCTCATTTATAATCATACATCTAAAAAACAGGGACGTTTACAGCCTAAAGCAAATCTTTAACAGCAAGCCGCCCTCTCTTCGTGTCTGCAAGAGAGAGAGAGAGAGAGAGAGAGAGAGGCGAAGGCGGTGGGAGTTTACAGCACCCTGCTTGTACCTGGCTGCTCCAACACTGAGCGCAATGTGCGTCCGTCAATGGCCAGCTGTGTGCTTGCGGGAGCTGGGCTGCACGGAACATTCCTGAGCGCACGCACACACACACACACACACACACACACACACACACACACACACACACACACACACGTACAGAGGCAGGCGTAGGACACAGCAACTTCACACTGTACATACAGCTGTTTTAATTGAATGTAAGGATGCATCAGCTTTACTGATTCATGTAATGAGATTTGTGCGTTCTCATACTGTATGAGCCAAGCATATGAGGGATGGGTGAAGGAGAATAATACAGCTGGAGGCTAGGAGCTGACCTCATAGATCAGATCAGCATTGCAAAGATGTCAATGCAACCAATTCAAATGGTGCAAATATGCAACAGAATAGCAGCTTGGACACCAGACAAGAGCAGTATAATGTAGTTCTAGTCCTCTCTTCAAAGTGCTTTCATTGGTAATATGGTTAATATAGGTGACATAGTCCAGAGTGTGTGTGTGTTTTGTGTGTGTTCGGCTGCAATGCCTCACTTCACTGGGGCCTTTGGGTGAAGAAGGCATATCCTTCTTCACCCACTTAGTCAAAAAAAAAGTGGATTTTGGTTGTCATATCCCACATCATAAAAATGAATCCGTCAACTCCCACAGCTCAAAAGTTGCCTCTGTTCTCTTTAGAGCTGTAAACTCTGCCTGCTTACAGTGTTTCAGGGGATTCAAGCTTCTGTGTCTCTGTCTCCCTTCTCTAAAAGGGATCTTTGCCTACCTAAATTACCGAGTGCCTCGCACCAGAAAGGAGATATTTGAGACGCTGGTGAAGGGACTGCAGAGACTGGAGTACAGAGGGTACGATTCAGCAGGTAAGACACTCACACACACACACTGTGCACAAAAGCTTATAGTACTCCTTGGCAGCACCTGTGTGTCGTGCCCTTAAGGAAAAAAAAAAGAAATCTGAGCAACATTTGACAGTGAAGCATGAGGAAGAATGATCTGTGAGGACTTCAGTAATTTGGAATTGAATCACTGTTATGTCACATGAGTCACCTGATAGTCAGCAAATGTGATCTCGTGTTTGAATTTGTACCGTCTACGTACGTGCACACCCTGGCACTGTTTTTTTTATTGAGCTGCTTCCTCCTTCACACGTGTTTCATGACATTAAATTTAAACGCACTATCATAACGATCTTAAATGAAAAGAAGCAAAACTAGTATAACAGCTACCACCTGTCATTGTCTGACGGAGTGAGGCCGGCTTCATTCAGACACACCTGTAACCATAAAACCCTATAGGAGGTATCAAATACAGACTATATTTTAGCTATTCCGACTCCTGACTCAGCACATCCCTGCCACCCGGACATTTAAAACTGTTTAAATATGCACACACACACATACACACACACACTCTCACGTTGTGTTTGTTCATCCTATTTGAGCAAGATGAAGCCCGAAGCCGCACAAATAAGACGTCCTTTCATAGCTGTTAAACACCACGTCATACACACACAGGCATACACCCACAATAAATAACACCTCAGATATAAACATATTTAATCCTGACCACGCTTCCCCCTTTTCAAATGAAGCTGAATCTCTCACGTCTTCTCCCCTTTTTATGAATTGTCTTACTTCCTGTTTTGTTTTCTCTGTGTGCTTATTGCCTTTCTTACCTCACTGTAAAAGTATCATTTCCCTTCTGTCTGTATGCAGGTGTCGCTGTGGATGGCCCTAAGAAGAAGGACAGTGACGTAAACAACAACAGCATCTGCTTGATCAAGAAGAAGGGGAAGGTCAAGGCCCTGGATGAGGAGCTATACAGTGGGTTCACGCACATTTGATTCAGATTTGTCTTATTTTTCATGTGTGTTGCTTTTAATTCTGATAAACTGTCCTCCATGTGCGCCATTTGGAAAGTGTCCTTTTGAAGAGATCACCCTTCCCCCTTCATTGAACATTGTGTGCTGCATGTTTCTGTCTTAAAAAAGTCCCCGCAGTCTGTTCATGTCAGTAAAGGGATTGGCTTTTGTGTTTAGCTTGCTCAGAGAAGGACTCGCTGGACCTGGATGAGGAGCTGAACACACACTTTGGCCTCGCTCACACACGCTGGGCCACACACGGAGAGCCGAGCGCTCTCAACAGCCACCCTCATCGCTCTGACAAGAATAACGGTAATATGTCCTAAATATAATGATAATAATACCTTTATTTAGTTAAATTTAGAATTTACAAAGTGCTTTGACAAAGCAAAAGCAAAATCAGGATACTTAGAAGTCAGTATAGCAACAGAAAGCCAAACAGATATACCAAGGTGCGACAAAATAAAGGTAAAGTTAAGATAAAGTTAACACAAGAAGACAAAAAATCAATATAAATGGATACAAATAAGAAGAATAAAAGCAATAAAAAGACAGCATCACATAAAAGCAAGTCTATAAACATTTAAAAGAAGAGGTCACTGATTCTGTGAGTCTTATCTCCTTGGGCAGGTGGTTTTAAAGTCGAGAGGCCCCGATGGTAAAGGCACTATCACCTTTAGATTTTAGCTTTGACTCTGTGACCGCCACAAAGGCCGCACCTGAAGATCTAAAGCTGCGAACTGCCTCATATGGGGTCAGCATTTCTGCTGTGTAGCTCGGGGCCAGACCCAGAAGAGCCTTAAAAGTGATCATTAAAATCTTAACGTCACTTCTAAAACAAACAGGGAGCCGAATGGAAAGGAGCCAGGATTTAGGTGATGTGATGTCATCTGCTAAAACCAGTACTTTAATGCATGTTCACATACACACGACAATATATACATGCATTTAATACAGACGCAAAGTTAATCTCAATGGCAGTTTTCATGTAATCACTGTAGCTTTAACTCTGACCTTTTTTTCTGTGACCCTGTGATTCCCATGTTTTGAATCACTTCCTTTCCACCACTTATAAAAGCCTCTTGGCAGATGATTAAAATTAAAGGTCAAGATGCTATATATATGTTAATTTACCACACCCTCACACACCTTCTGTTCTAACCGACTTTACACCCATCTCTTTGTCACCGGTGCACCATGTTCTGAGGCGTGCCAATAATGTACCTTGGCTTTAAACCAAGGCGTGTGTGTAATTTAAGTGTGTTAAGTACGAGAGTCTGTATCACAGAAAATGAGAAACACTAAGTAACTTATGTTTGCATTGTATTAAGCTTTATTATTGTATTATATTTGGTATGCACCTATCGTTACTTGGTTATCATTTATGATAACGTATCACCTTGTTTGTGTGTAACTCTATCACTGTGGTGATCCTGTATCCGTGTTACTTTACCTGCTGCTAAATCCGCCACTTTGTCTTCATGCATCAACTTTCATTGTTGACATTCTTTAAATACATGCAGCATACTATCATTAAGATTTATAGGCGCCAGGGTCTATAGGTGAGGCAGATGTTACAGCTCTAAAACCTTAGACAAAATGCAAACACTTTTTAAGAGTGTGAATCCAAATTGGAGAGAGCACCTGAGCATTATTACAACTTGCCTAGCGTTTCGACCTTTAGCCCCTTTGTCTAATCTGTTCACTCTCGCTGACTCTCCGCAGAGTTTGTCGTCATCCACAATGGCATCATCACCAACTACAAAGAGCTGAAGGCGTACCTGGTGAGTTACCTTATCACCAGGAATTTCTCTTGTGCACACAACCGAGTCCTGTTACAGCTTATATTACCTTCACAGGTTTACGCTCATCCTGCTCTTTGATAATCATAACATCCCTGAAATAAATCATCATAGCCACTGTGCTGTAAATGTGGCAGTGTTTGCCATGTTGTTGTGTTAACAGGTTGGACAAATGTTCATCCACCTGGGTGTCGTTATAAGTCACTCTGTCGTCTGTCGTGTAACTAATTCATTCGATAACATGAACACACACACACACAAAACAATTATTAGTTTTCATTTGTTTTTTAGTCACTTCAGCTGTCAGCACTAGAACTGTCTATTGAGACAACATTATTCAGTATTACTCATTAACTAAGGAGTGACTTGTTGCCACAGTATACCTGGGCAAAAGTCAGATATGAGTGGAGTATACACACGGGGAGCATTGGTAAAAAATAAAGAAAGCATGTTCCTTGGTAGTGTTTTTTTTTTCTTGTTAAAATAGCCAAACATTTATTATAACAATGCCAGTGAAGTCTGTTCAAACTGGATTGCTGCACATAAAAACATTCAGAGTGAAATTGCGTCATCGGCCCATGCAACTTTAGTGTGTAATATAATCACTTTAGTAAATACAGTGTTGGAGAGCTCCCCTGATCTGTTAAGGTCATTTTCATTTCATCAAGGAGGCAATTGTTTACACACAACAGTGAGATGAGACAAAGTGTCACTCTGGATGCTCAGCAAAAATAGCTGTATTTTCAAGTTATCAAAACTGGATGTTTTTACCTTCATTTAATATTACTGCATTTTTTCCAGGGCTCATAGCAACAGTTTTTATATTTGTACTGTATTTATATTACAGTTGAAAACATAAATGTCACTGTTTAACGCACCATATCAGATTGTAGCTTTAAGCATATTTGTATCTGTAGTCTCTTAACAGGTCAAAACAACATGACATGCAACACAGAGCTTCACACAACAGCACATCACAGATATATGCTTGTCATAAATAAAAGCAACTCCTGAAGGCCATGAATTAAAGTTTAAAGTACTTTACTTATCTGAGTTATGTACATATTAATATAAACTGCCTCGCACCTTCCTCAGATCACCAAAGGATATGAGTTTGAGTCAGAGACGGACACGGAAGTGATCCCCAAACTGATCAAATATGTTTACGACAACCGGGAGAATGACAACATCTCCTTCTCCACGCTGGTAGAGAGGGTGATTCAGCAGCTGGTGAGTAGCTCACACACAGACACACATAGCCAGTATTAGCATGCTAATTACAAGATATCAGGTGTTTGTATCTAGTTATTCCTCCTGCCAGTGAGCAGTGAAGGAATGTAACTAAGTACATTTACTCAAATATTATATTTGAAAAGAACACTTCACTTCAAAGTTAGCATTTGTTTTTTACCTGCCGCTTGTTACCTTGAATTTGTGAGGAAAGCTTTATTTTTCTGGCATGCTTCCGGGGTGAACGAAGAATCCAAACAAGGCAAACATTTTTCATGAATTGAAGTTAACAGAGACTGGTTTACAAACAGCAAAACTTTATTAAAATTTGTTTACAAACTCTCACACAACCCTAAGCTAAGCTAAGCTAAACTAAACTAAACTAAACTAAACTAAGCTAAGCTAAACTAAGCTAAGCTAAGCTAAATTAAACTAAATTAAATTAAATTAAACTAAACTGAACTAAATTAAACTAAAATAAACTAAAGTAAACTAAACTGAACTAAACTAAACTAAAGTAAAATAAATTGAACTAAACTACACTAAACTGAACTAAACTAAACTAGAGTAAAATAAAATAAACAAAAATAAACTAAATTAAACTAAACTAAACTAGAGTAAAATAAAATAAACAAAAATAAACTAAATTAAACTAAACTAAACGAGTAAAATAAAATAAACAAAAATAAACTAAATTAAACTAAACTAAACTAAACTAGAGTAAAATAAAATAAACAAAAATAAACTAAATTAAACTGAACCAAACTAAACTAAACTAAAATGCTCTTATATGTATTCATTAGCAAATAAAACATGTAATATTCTATATTAAATTAACACTGTTAAAGGAGTCACTGCATGTTGATAATATACTAATACTATATAATATATAATACTTCTGTTCTTCTAATGAAGTAACAGTTGTTATTTACCTGTAATGGAATATTTCATGAAGGTGAATGTAAACAAGGAATTTGACTCTGTCTTTTAGTGTCTCTCACTGTATTTACACACACAGTATTTACAGGAGGACAGAAACAGACATACAGCTGAGTAAAGACAGGTAAAAATAAATTAGATGATTATCATAGTTTAGACTGTGGTGTTTCTACTGTTACTTCGGTAAAAGATCTGAGTACTTCCTCCACCTCTGCCAGTGACACACACCATAGTTTCAGCTCCACGTTAAGGAATGGAAATTTTTATAACCAGCTTCCTGATTAACTATAAAGGATAGCATCATGTAGCTTTGTGTCATAAAATGTGTCAGTGACCATTCATACACACATACGCTCATTTACTCAGTCTACAAAGTGTGCTTGAATTTCCTGCCTTTTAAAACCATGTACACCATCACAAAAACAGTCTCTATAGCAACCGCCTGAACAGCATCATAAGTGACATCATCACCTTTTGGAACAGCTTTTTTGGGGTGAGATTGAGCAAGCTTCTTTTTTTCCATTGTGGGACTTTCATGCTTCACACTTTTGGTCGGAGTGGGTTCTCCTTCCTCGGAATAACAGAGGAGGCAAACGCAGCCATTTTGGATTTGGAGTAATGGGAACCAGATAGTTAGATTCACTAACAGCGTCACAACCACGACACCCTCCCCTCGTCTACCTCCCTCATCCGCCCACTTTCAGCACACGCACACACAAACACACTCCGAGCCAGTTCTGCTTCGAACCACCGCAGGCAGCGATGCAGTCAGTGCTTTCGAAACACAGCTGATGTTATACAATAGAGGTCTTATTTCTCTTAACCCGCACTCCCCCCTGCACACCACTACTTACCACACTCACTCACACCCCCACCACAACTGCCAAATCCCACATGGCCAGAAGAAATGTTTGTTTGTGTCCTGAATATGTTTCTCCTAAAGGTTACATGCTTTCCAGGAATACACGGCTGACTTTACTTTTACATTTTAATTATTTTATTTTGAATAGTTTCTCCTCCTCTGCCCTAAAAGTCTACTGCAACACTGGTGTATTTCAGTCTCTCATCAAGCCAGTGTAAACTCAGTGTTTCCTCTGCTTCTTTCCGTCTCAGGAGGGGGCCTTCGCTCTGGTGTTTAAAAGCCATCATTTCCCTGGAGAGGCTGTATCCACCAGGTTTGTACCACACACATGCACACACACATGCACACCCACTGCGCTGACACTTCACTTCACATTTTGGTCCAGTGTCTGTGTAGTGAGCCAGACTTATGAGATGAATCAGCCAACTATGAAGCAATCCCAAAAATGATTTGAGGAGACTTTGTCTCAGTCATTGCGGCTTTTCATAGTTAGCACCCATTTCACGTGACATGTTATGACTCTCGAACGTGCTTTGCTTATGATAATGGACAATTGAAATCTTATCCGTAGGCGTGTGTGTGTGTGTGAGTATGTATAAATTCCCGCTAGCCTGCATGTGTCAGTCCTATCTGCGTCTTAAGACCCAGGCAGAGAGGGGGAGCAGAGCAGAGGTTGAATTCAGGTTCCCCTTCTCCCCCCTGGGCCTCTGGCCTCTGGGCAGCTGGCCCTTCGCCGGCTTCTCTGTGACTCATTAAAGGAGAGACTAGAGAGTTTCCTGTTTCTGCTCCGGGAAATGCCCTTGCCAGAAAAACTCCTGTTTAATCACATCATTTTATTTAACTTTATACCTTCCCTGGTTCAATGAGCTGTCATGGATCAGAGGAAAAGGGAGATTGCTGAAGCATGGGAGTGAAGGAGGGAAAAAGGAGGAGGGCAGCAGGGCAATCAGTGAAGAGAGATAAGTGGGCCGTTTCTTATGGTTTAGACAAACAGGTTGCCTGGCGGTGCCACTGTTGGCAAGGCCGCTTGTTGGCACACCCGCTGCTGCTAAAGTCAGGAAACTCTGGCATCTCATTTGTCCATTGTGTGCTTGTTTCAGAAGATCCTGATATCAGAGTGTTGCACAGCTTTGGCTAACTCGATGCAGTGTTGCGGTTAATATGTTGAATAGTCAGCATTGTCTCCCAGGATGGAGGGATTGAGGGAATGTTTGTAATTATCTAGAGATGCTAGTCACCACCCGCCCTTTGTCATCAAGGATCTTAACCTCTCTGCAGAACTTCTACTCTCTCCTTCTCAGCTTCTCTCTCTTTAACTTTCTCCCAATCCTCCTTTCTTTTTCTTTCTGCCACCCTGTCTCTCTCTTACGTACCCCCTAATTTCTTCATCCCTTTGCTTCACTTCTTCTCTTCTCTCCCTCCCTCAGGGTAAATAATGTATTGGATAGCGACCACATGTTTCTGTTTGCAAGCCTTCCCTTTTCAAGCCCCACACCCGTTAAAACAACCAGCGATCTTACGTCAGCGCGGCCGAGCCCCAGAGAAAGACTTGGGGAAAAAAAAGAGGGATCCAGACAGAGAAAGACAAGAAATAAGGAGAGGCCTTTTGGACGCGGTTTCTCAAGAGTCGGTGTCATAATAACAAAGTCACCATGAAGAGGTTGTGTTTTGTTATAATATTTGTACTGTGGCCACAGGATGAGTGTGCAAAGGTTTCATCTATTTTAAGCTCGGTCTCCTCCCTCACCTGTCAAATGTCTGTGGCTGCACCTTCCCTGCCTCCACTGCCAATAGGAGAAGCACACATGAAATCAGTAGCCAGTGAGAGAGCAGTGACTCTCTCCAGGAACTGTGAGCAAATCCTAGAGGGATGTAGACGTATGGAGGGTTAGTTTACCTTTCTGATGTTAAAGATTAGGAAGGTTAGAAGAGATCTGGAATAAGTGAGTCTCTCTCTAGTGTTACTCGATTGAATTTTAGGTTGTTCATTGAAGAAAAAATGATCATTAAGAGTGCAAAGGAACTTTAGTTTAGTGTGGAATAACGCAGCAGGGCAGGATGTCAGGTTACCTGAACAGTCAGACTTGTATAAAGCACCACGTGAGGGTGTATGTATCCGACATTGTTGTGTGTCTACAAAAGCCTAATCCTCTCCTTTCTCCCACCTCACCCACACTTTCCCTCCCTCTCCCTCTCCCTCTCCCTCTCCCTCTCCCTCCCGTCTCTGCCTCCCTGCTTGCTTCATTCTTGTCCCGGCAGGAGAGGAAGTCCATTGCTCATTGGTGTGCGAAGCGAGCATGAGCTGTTGACCGAAAACATCCCCATCCAGTACAACAGTGGTGAGCTCTGTTCCTGTCTCTGTCTGCCATTATCCGCTTACTCTGCACCCCCACATCTTTTGCATGCTCGCACACCGACATACTGTAAATACACACAGAGCAGAGAGTATTCATAAATCATTAGCATATTGAATTTAATAGCATATTAAATGATCTTGCTCCTGACAGTCTGAGCTGCAAAAGATACTCCAGCAATCAGTGCTTCATGTAAGTTGCGAAATAAAGGGACTTGCTAAGCTGCTTGCTTAGTCATAACACAGCAGAGAAGGATGAAAATAAATGGAGAAATTAAATCAGTAACTAGATCCCGAATGACCCATTAAGGAAGTTAAGAAATACTGCACAACTTCAACAGCTTGATTTCGATACTGCTCAAAAACTGTATTGCTATTGCTCAAATACATCAGTTATGATTTGTTTAAAACTATGAGGTTTATTTCAGAGGCTGAGCTGATCTGCCAGCACCAGTTGTTAATGTAATGACCCATGAAGGCATGCCAATCTCTTCATCACCAAACACCAAACACACAATATATCAGTGTTATTAAAATGGCTCTCAATCTTCAAAAGTGCACATTCTTAAAAGTTTTCCATTACCTAAAATTTAGCAAAAGCATGTCATGTCAAGTCCCCGTCAACGAAAATCCTCCTCATGATTGTAATTAAGTGCATTGTCTTACCCTCCAGTTAAGGCCAAGTGATTTATTGAACATTGTTTTACATAGTTAATATCTAAGTGTTTGATGGGAGGTCGCAAAATGATCATCTTTAAACCTCCAATCCTAGTTGAATATGGCGACAACCAGTTATAATGTGGCTTAATGCTACTGCAGTTTTTTCAGTCGTCACTTTGTGTGTCATCACATTTCTTACCTGTTCTAAAACCACTTTAAAAAACGTCTTAAAAGGCAAGTGAAGACCCAAAACAAATGTCATTTGGTCCAGTGGTTCCCAACTGGTGGGGCAGGATCCAAAAGTGGGTCACTGGTCCATTCTGAATGGATCGTGAGTAATTCGCAAATGTGTCAAGTTTGTAAAGTTTGGGCCCATCCCAATACCCCCCCTTAGCCCTACCCCTTGGCCCTACCCCTAGATTTGCGCGTTCCCGCGAGGGGTAGGGGTGTCCCAATTCCTTTTTTGTGTGTAGGGGTAGGGGGCATAACAAGGGGTAGTGGGTATGAAACTAGCCCTTCGGAGCGAGGGATGTCAGATGCTGACTTGCCAGCGAGGGGTAGATGTCGCCATGGCTACCACCGAGCAAGAGATGGGGAAAAAAGTTTTTATTGCTATTCACGAAGTCTAGCCAGCTAGGTAACGTTACCGTCGTCGGGTTGCTTGTTAGCTAGCTTGCTAGCTCGTGCTATCTGGCATCTGTCATCTGTCCCGTTCTGCAAAATTGTCAGATTTTTCACATTACGATAACATACCAGCTAGTATAACTATGCTGCCTCGTAATGTTAGCTGGTTAGCTAGCTAGCTAGCAGAAGTCCCCTGTCGTACATATCTTATTACTCTAATGGTATGTTAGTAGCAAGCATAATAGTAGCTAACGTTACCGTTATGTTGTAGATGCCGGTTGGAAATGTAGATGGAAATGTAGTTAGGTATGCGTGAACATAACCGACGCGGTGACGTAGTGAGTGGTGTCCCAATTCCTAGGGAAGGATTTCAACCCCTACCCCTCGTTGCTTTATTTCGAGGGCTAAGGGCTAAGGGATAGTGGACAAGGGGGGTTATTGGGATTGGGCCTTTATTTTAAGTACAGTGAATTTCTGGCACAGAGCTTTTATTTTGAAGTGCCCTTTCTCGCTGTAGAGTGAGTGACTAACAGAAAGCTACATAGAGACAGCAAACTAACTCGACGACATGGCCAAATGCAAGCATGAACCGTATTAAACTATGTGGACCTGGAGTTAATGATGAAGAAGAAATTTGGACCCCATGGCTGGACCAGTGGGAGCCACTGCATTAGTCCATCACTCAATACTTTCAGACTCCCCTAACGTCTGTGGCACTCAGCCCCAACCCCACTCACTCCTACTGGCATTGCAAATCCCGAAAATGGGCCATGAATATGTATTTTACTTTTTTAAAAAAGACTTAAGTATTTCCTAAAACAGCCGGGCACTGTAGTTTAGAGCAAACTCAAACAGGAGTAAATATTTGTTGGGGACTATTTTCAGCCAGCAGGATGGTGTACGTGAGATCGACTCAAAATAAACTGCACTGAAGGAACGTGTCACTCAGTGCAACAGCGTGGCTCATTGATGTTTTTTTAATAGTTTTTGGGCAACAATGGAGCTCTGTAGCACAACCAGGCTTTGGCACGGTTATTATTGTTATTGGATCAATTCATTGATGAGTTTTCATGGAAACATCTGATCCAGCAAGATACGCAGATAGTCGCCTTACACAGTAGCCTGAAAATATGTATCCTATCAAGGGAGCATTTTCCTTCTTTACTTTCTTCCTGGATAATATTGCTCTAACTCTTGATTTTCTCTGATGTGCTGTAACAAATCCCACAAAGTGACGCTCTTGGCTAACTGTGGAAGTAGTGCAAGATGTTTTGTGGTTCTGTTATTCATTGTGCAATAATTCTGCTAAAAATCATTCTTAGAAAGTAATTTTCCATAAAGTGGTGCCAGGGATTTCTTTGTTTAGTATCAGGGGGTGGTGGTCATTTGAAAACTTATCTGGATGTTGAATGGAAAATGTGTTTTTTTGATCCCAGAGTTCCCACTAATAGAGACAAAGTTTATGATTGTGTTTCTCTTGTAATCTTTTAGATGCACTATTAGGATTATTTATTGTTAACAACAGCCTGCTTATTTTGCTGTTGCTTCCTCGTCTCTACTGCGCATAGGGCCGTGTCTTCACTGTCTTATCTGTCCACTCTAAATTTATGGCACTTCATGGCTCAGGTGAGAGCAGTCCAAAGTCCAAGGAGTTAGGTGGTTTGAGGCCAGGAGGGAGACAAGCAGGGTGTGTCCTTTTAATGGTTGAAAATAATCCTCTCACTTCTTTTTGGACCTCTCTTTTCATAACAATCGTGACAATTTCTTTTAGAGCACAGCTTCTTTAAAACCCCGTTGTTGTTCAAACAATATATAAAGTACCATGATTACCTAATAAGACCATGTTGACTCAGGGAAAGAAAAGTGCTCTCTTGTGCTGTAAAGTAATCTTGCAGATTTGAAAGACACTGTGTCAGTCAGAAATGCACGCTGCTGATAATTATTAACAAGTTAAGACAACAAATCTGATTACAAAAAGCAATATGGACATTTAATCTGTGGTAAATATTCTGTTTGTGGTAACCACTGTTATCAGTTGAATGTTCCACCTTGAAAGCTTTCTGATTTTACCACGAAATCAGAATTTCGTGACATGACATACCCAGTTCCCACAGCAGTGACCTTCCTCCATCTGGAAGTTGAGAGGAAGAATTCAAGTGATGAGCACATCTTGATTGCTTTAGTCGCTCAAAGACACTGTGCGACCTCTGACTCCTGACCTCTGACTTTTGACTCTGTAGGTCACTACAAGGAGGCTGTCCAGGAGAAGAACAGCCATAATCGTCCCGACTGCTCCAGCGCCATCAACTCTGTGGGAGATGGCAGAGCTGTGGAGTATTACTTTGCCTCTGACGCCAGGTGAGAAAGCAATTGTCTGTGGTGAATCCAACATGGGACAGTAGCATTGAATTCTTATTTATCATATTAATTAAGTCACTGACTTTATCTCCTCTGTGTCTGTCTGTCACACCTATCAAGCAAAATATTCTAAAAAGAAACACATTTAGTGCCTTTAATAAACACCAGACTTGCAGACATAATCGTCAGCTCATCACATGTATCCGTTTTATCTCTACCCACAGTGCCATCATCGAGCACACCAACAAGGTGTTGTACATGGAGGATGATGACATTGCAGTGGTGACCGGCGGGAAACTCTCCATCCACAGGCTAAACCGGCAGGCTGGTGAGGATCCAGTGAGGGCAATCCAGACCCTGCAGATGGAGCTGCAACAGATCATGAAAGGTGAGAAAATGAAGGAAGAAAACTTGATTATTCGATGAATATGAGGATAATACACCATTCTGATTTTATCTAAGCAGTTTAGCTTAAAAGAACATTGTTAAAACACATTAGAATTAAAGGTCCAGTGTGTAGGATTTATGGGGAATTAGTGGCATCTAGTGGTGAGGATTGCAAATTGCAACCAGCTGGAATTTCTCTTAGTTAGATTTCCTTTAGTGTTAATTGTTCAGGTGGATTTTATTGGGGGCCATATTAGCCGCAGAGGTCTCTTCCTCTCCAAAAACAAACAGATCAGGTGATTTAAATGGGTAAAACAACTGAATAAAGCTGTGTTTTTATGACACTCTCATCGTGGAGGGGCGGCTGACAGGAAAACACCAATAGCCCTATCTAGAGCCAGTGTTTGGTTTGTCCCTTCTGAGCTACATGACGAAGGACAAAGAACCCACTCCCTTTGTAGATAAAGATAGTTCATTCTGAGGTAATGAAAAAACAGTGATTCTTATTCCCAGGTGATTATACATTTAAGAAACAAACTTATCACATTATATTCTATCTCTGCTCATACGTCCCCCTAAATCCTACACACTGGACCTTCCAACAGATTACTCTAATGAATAAACAAGTGTCCTCTTAGACAACTATCCATTTTAGTGAATGAAAAACACTCTCATTAGTCTTTATTGTCTTGCAATGAATGTATTTATTTACAACACTGGTGCCATTAAACAGACCAGACACAGCCGTTGTGCCTCAAAGAATCAATCTTTACAGCCTTAATTATACCCAAGAACAAGGTCACAGATGGACGTGTGTACCTCGTCTTCTTTATCTAGTCTAAACAACTCAGTGCCTGTCTGCTGCCAGCAGACACAACTTCTTTTAACCTCTCTGATTAAACAGGCCTGGGACATTTTAACTTGCCGACAAAGTAAGACAGAACAGGTTTAGTTAACCACAACAATGCAGAGACACATACACCTCATATTTTATACCTAAAAGTTTTTCCACCACACCTACTGAGTACACTGGTAACATGCAAGCAGTGTCACCACCACAGTCTAGTTTGTAGACTTATACTTGCTCGCCCCCTGCTGGCTGAAAGTGAAAAAGTAAAATGGCTGCTCAGTTTTTCAGCCTCTTTAAATCGCTAACCCTTCCTCCACATACCTCTGTTATCTGTCTTATCTCTCTGAAGAGGTTCTGCATGTCCTCGTGTGTCATGAGGATCTGATAATCTGAGGTACATACATGTTCCTCTCTTTGCAGGTAATTTTGATGCCTTCATGCAGAAGGAGATCTTCGAGCAGCCGGAGTCAGTGGTCAACACTATGAGAGGACGGATATGTTTTGACACCAACACAGGTGACTAGTGAGCTTACAAACGTGCAGGGCCTTCAGGTTTTTAATGATGCATAGGGCGTCTGACCTGGTCTCTGATCCATTCAGTCAATATTAGCAAGGACTAGTTCAGGATCAGGATCTGTTGTTTGTTGTTGTGACCTTCTTACCATTGTGTGTTTGAAGATAGGATTGAAAGACAAAGAGTAGTCAGAGACTAAAACATGTATTTGTGCATCACTTCAGTCCCTTATTTCGATGCTCACTAATGTAACCATCATCTATATGTTTAGTGGTTCTCGGCGGGCTGAAGGACCACCTGAAAGAAATCAAACGCTGCAGACGGCTACTCGTGATTGGCTGCGGCACTAGCTTCCACGCTGCAGTGGCTGTGAGTATCAAAAACTGAAATAAGCGCGATGACCTCCCTTCTTTAATGAAGACGGTGTTTATTAGTGAAAGCAAAGTTCTAAAGACATGGTTACTGTTTGTCTGGAGAGTCGTGATGATGATGTTGATGGTTAGACTGCTGCTTTTGTTTCCCTAATTTTCAGACCAGACAGATCCTCGAGGAGCTGACAGAGCTGTCCGTCATGGTGGAGCTGGCGAGCGACTTCCTGGATCGCAACACGCCCGTTTTCAGAGACGACGTTTGCTTCTTCATCAGCCAGTCAGGTGAAAACACCACAAAAAACACATACAAAACCTGCCCCTGCTGTCAGTCTGTGCTCATGTGTTTGTCTTTTTGGTCAGCAGCTTAGTTTTGTTGGATTTCATTTCTCAAAAACAGAAATTTGAGATGACGGTCTTTTGTTTCCAAGACAAACCTGACAGTATCATCATCTTTTGGTGTCTTACCTCCAACTGTGGCCTTACTGTGCTGCAGTTCTGCATTGTAAGCATGTCTCTTTATTCCCTCTGCTCCCTCAGGAGAGACAGCAGACACCTTGATGGCACTACGGTACTGCAAGAGCCAAGGTGCTCTGACAGTTGGTATAACCAACACTGTGGGCAGCTCCATTTGCAGGGAAACAGACTGCGGAGTTCACGTCAATGCTGGGCCTGAGATAGGAGTGGCTAGCACAAAGGTATAGTTTACAATGTACATCCCGTAAGTTTATAAAATCTTTGCAAAAGCAGCATGCAAAATAGACTGCAGGATATACAGAGTTCTGTGTTATTTGCTTGATAGGCCACACTGTTAAGGAACACGTGGGGTTATATGAGTGTTTCTTGTGTGTGTGATCCAGGCCTACACCAGTCAGTTTGTGGCCCTCGTAATGTTTGGCCTGATGATGAGCGAGGACAGGCTCTCCCTACAGCAGAGAAGACTGGAGATCATCAACGGCCTCAGGGTGCTACCTGGTCAGTCCAACAGACATCAGTAAATCACAAATATAAAGCTGTCATGGTCTCAACATGAGCGTACAGCATCTTTAAGAGATGCTTAACCATGTTCGACCATCACTGACAAATCAGACTCACAGAATACAGTATATTTGGTTTGCGTAATTGCACACTTATATTTTAAATGCTACCATAATAACTCCATTGCTTGTTCTTTTACTATCATAGAGCTGATAAAGACAGTGTTGGCCCTAGATAAGAAGATCAAGGACATCGCCAATGAACTGTACCAGCAAAGGTCTCTTCTGGTCATGGGCCGAGGGTTCCACTACGCCACCTGCCTTGAGGGGGCGCTGGTGAGTCGAGAATGTCACATAGCCTGTCAAAAAATTGCAATTCACTTCTCATACAGTAACATAAAATATGAGGACAAAGTATAAACATCAGATGACATAAGAGAGATTTTATTCTTTTTTTCTCTAATGCAGAAAATCAAGGAGATCACGTACATGCACTCTGAGGGCATCCTGGCTGGTGAGCTGAAGCACGGCCCTCTGGCACTTATCGACAAAGACATGCCGGTCATCATGATCATCATGAAAGACGCCTGCTACACCAAATGCCAGAATGCTCTGCAACAAGTCACTGCCAGATCGGTAGGTCCTGGAAAAACTCTACTGTAACAGAACTCCCTGAAAACTTGGTATTTTACCTGGATGGGCGTGGTTTTGCAGGGCGCTGCAGTACATGCTTTGGTGAACTCTGTCAATTGTCTCAGCCCGTACGACGTTTTTATGATAACCTGTGTGCACCTTTGTAAGACTGTAGAACAAAAATCCTGTCATATTTTTGTGTGATGAAATGAGAGGTTGCACTGTGTGGCAAATTACGGCCTAGTTATATTTCTAAAGCTTAGAAAATTAGGGCAAACTGGACTGAATAATACCCAAGTATGAAGACAAACAGAATATACTGTTCGTGTTTACCGGTGATTTGTATATTTGGCCTTACACATATGTATATGGAAATTGATAGTCTGCCTTGTACACCTGTTTGGGCATCTTTATTGCAAGATACTACATCGATTTCAGAGTACAGACCCCTTTGTCACAATTTAGTCCAGTGGTTCCCAATATTTCCAGTGTCACACTTGCAGTTCGCCATGTCGTCAAGCTAGTTTGCTGTCTCTGTCAAGTCACTGTCCAGTAGTGACTCACTCTACAGCAGGAAACAGCACTTCAAAATAAGAGCTCTGTGCCAGAAATTCTCTGTACTTCAAAATAAAATGTGTTTCACAAACTTGACACGTGCGAGTCACTTGGGTCCACTCAGAGAGTACCCGTGACCCACTTTTGGACCGCGACATACCAGTTGGGATACACTGATTTAGTCCATCAAAATGTCAGTATATTTTAGCATGACTTAGTTGTACATATTTTCCAGTGTAACATTATGATGGCCAATTTGAGAATTTATCAGCAGTCAGGTAAAAGTCATTCTGTTTCAAGTTACAGTTAGGTGTGACATCACCTGTAGGTTTTATCTTGTGGTTAAAGCAAAGATTAGGTAAATGAACAACTCCTTATGTCACGATTTTCTAGCTTATCCAAAAAAAAAGACAAAATTACCCAAAGCGAACCAACAAGGCCGTCCATCAGTTGAAAAACACCCTTAGTGGCGTGGGATCTAAACTCACACCTGGACACATGCACGTTCACACAAATGTCCCATTCTGAGTGCAACCAATGTAATTTGTGACTCTCTCTCCATCAGGGTCGGCCCATCATCCTTTGTTGCCAGGACGACCCTGAGATGACTAAGAATGCCTACCACGCTATTGAGCTGCCGCAAACTGTGGACTGTCTGCAGGGCATCCTCACTGTCATCCCCCTGCAGCTCCTGTCCTTCCACTTGGCCGTCCTGCGAGGATATGACGTAAGTAGTCAACACAAGTTTTGAATCTAGCTATCCGTACTGATTCTCAGTGGACATGAAGTATAGAGAATTAAAGTGTTTTTTATCTACCAAAACCTTAAAGGAGATGTGTGAGACTGTATCTGCTAATTGGAGTGAAACTGATCTGAACCCCAGATATGAAACAGATCATATAAACAAATAAATATTGTGGTCGCTATCATTCTGTAATCTGATTTTATGTGATGTTAAAGCTCCTAACTGTCTAAATACTGCAAATGTCATTTGTTACGCTTTATTAAAACACACTATCAACAGTTGACTCACTGTGATGGACATGACTTTAATTATTTATCACGTGATTTTGAAATAGTCAGCAGATAATTTCATTTTGCTAAAAAAATTTTATCAATTAACATTTTTTGGAACCCAAAACTGATCAGGAATACGACATTTAAATGCACATATTCAAACACATCTTGTGCTTGTATAATTTGCCATCCAAATGCTCTCGCTTGCATCACTTTGCAAATCAGAGTAGAATTTCAACATTTCAGTGGAATGTAATTTGCATGCAGCACAAGACTCAGGGAGGCTATTTATTGCTTGCAGTCAGTTCATTATTAACAAACTTTACAGTGGTTGTGGAGACCAGTTTACTGAGCTGCATTTGCTAAAGCCGGATGTGCACAGTATCTGAATGTGTGTGTGGGCAATATGTTTCGTTTTGTTACCCCAGCTTCTGTAGCTTACATTTCATCTCTGTCTTACCAATTTGGACGGCATCTTTACGTAGTTTACACAGTTATGGTGCGTGTAATGTCTCGCCACCACTGGCTTTTCTTATCATAAGGACAGGAAGTGGTCAGTGAGCCAGGCATCGTGTCGTGTGCAATGTGGTTTTTCTTCTTGCACCTTCCCGTCCTCTGTAGCACCATTTGTTATTCACCTTTTCTTGGCTTGTTAATGTGTGTTTGCCTCAGCATAGAGAAGTGTACGTTTCATACTCAACAGTTTCTAGATGAGTGCACTTTATGTGACACAACACAGCCACAGGTTGTTTGCTCTAACAAAGTGCTTTCTCTTTTTTGCAGGTCGACTTTCCCAGAAACTTGGCCAAATCTGTGACCGTGGAGTAATTACAGTTCACACAGAGCAGGAGAGGAGAAAGGAGGCTCATTGATTTACAGTGCAATTGAATGTTCAGTATGTTTGTGTGTGTGTGTGTGTGTTGCGAGACTGGGGTGAAGTAGGGCACTTTGTGTGTGTGTGTGTAGAAGAGAGCGTGAATGAGTGAGAGTGAGAGGACATGACAGAAGACAGAGGGAGGGATACGGTACAATATCTATTTAAAAAAAGAAGAGAAATGTGAAGTCCAACCAATACACTGCTGAGGAAGTGCCAGTGCCAGTGAGGCCTCTCAGAACAATCTATGAAAAACAACATTCACACGTCCAAAGCAACATGCTGTGCCTTTTTTCTTATCTTGAGATGAGCCAAAAACACACACAACAGGCTTAGCAGAAAAACATTGATCTGGTGTATTGAAGTGTTTACAGTTGTGCAATATGGGGACCAAATGTGCATTATGTATGTACACAATCATGAGTTAGGTGATTTATTCTCTTTCTGTTGGATGAATTTCTTACATCTGTTGGGGGCGTCTTACCTCCCTTTGCATTGTGGGAAATGTAAGACTCATGTGGTTTTATTCCAGAGGGTTGTCGACTTACCAAAATCTCATTTTTTTTTTTTACTTTGCTGCATATTCATGCCATCACTGTGCCTGGTGGGCCTGTCGCCCATTACTTCGACATTTTGTAGCAAAAGCTACCTGAAGGAAGTTCCTCAATCTGACTTTTACATTATTACTTGATTCTTTTTTTTTTTTTTAATGTACGCTCCATTTTATTGTTGTTTCCCTTTAATTTAAAATACATTGTACGGCTGTTTAACATAACTGCAGTTTCCAAAGTCAGTTCATGGTGGAACATGAAGCATTTTCCCCCTGATGCTCTTCATACTTATCCTTGTCACAGGGTGGAGCATTTTCATAGACACACGTGAAATTTATTTAAACAGCATTCATGCAGCAAAAAAAGTACTTTCAATAATGCTTTTATTTTGTCAGCCATTTGTATGGATTTATGATAATGTTCTGTATTTATCTGATTCTTATTTTATAGGGGCTTAAGAAAGGGTTTGATTTATATCTTTAACTGTGATTGTATTTTATACTGTATGTTTTATAGACATAAGCAGGCACTATCAATCAATAAATAAATAGATAAAGCATTTTATTCAAAGTGTGCCATTGTCACTCCTTATTTCTCTTTTTACCTGCCTGTGTTTGTTATGGTAAGTGATATGTTAATGCGATATTACTATGACAGGAGGACAATAACTGCGGGTATAGTTTTTACTCTTGAGGCTACATGGGCATTCACTCATTTCATCCATTATGAGATGCATTAAGTGGGGCTAGTTCAATTTATGGGTGCATATATACAAGACATTTTGCAGTCAGAGATTAGTGTGTTGGAGCCAGTTAAAAATATTTAAAATCCACTGTAGGATAAAAGTTTATATTTTACAATCCCCTACTTGTGCTTAACTTTGTGAGTGGGCCTTCTTTCATTTTACACTTACACTCTACCACATCTCAGAGGCAAACACTTTTCACTCCCTAATTTTTCTCCTAGCCTGTTACTTCAGTTTTTACACCTTATGTACACTCATCAGGCCACTTTATTAGGTACACCTCGCTAGTACCAGGTTGGACCCCTTTTACCTTCAGTACTGCCTTGATTCTTGGTGGCATATGTTTCAACAAGGTGCTGGAAACATTCCTCAGAGATTTTGGTCCATATTGACATGATAGCATCACACAGTTGCTGCAGATTTGTCTGCTGCACATCCATGACATGAATCTCCCGTTCCACCACATCCCAAAGGTGCTGTATTGGATTGAGATGTGGTGACTTTGGAGGCCACTGGAGTACAGAGAACTCATTGTCATGTTCAAGAAACCAGTTTGAGATGATTTGAGCTTTGTGACATGGTGCGTTATCCTGCTGGAAGTAGCCATCAGCAGATGGGTACACTGTGGTCATAAAGGGAAGGACACGGTCAGCAACAATACTCAGGTAGGCTGTGGTGTTTAAACCATGCTCAGTTGGTACTAAGGGGCCCAAAGTGTGCCAAGAAAATATCCGCCACACCATTACACCACCACCACCAGCCTGAACCGTTGATACAAGGCAGGATGGATCCATGCTTTCATGTTGTTTACACCAAATTCTGACCCTACCATCTGAATGTGGCAGCAGAAATCCAGACTCATCAGACCAGGCGACATGTTTCCAATCTTCTATTGTCCAGTTTTGTTGAGTCTGTGTGAACTGTAGCCTCAGTTTACTGTTGTCAGCTGACAGGAGTGGCACCTGGTGTGGTCTTCTGCTGCTGTAGCCCATCTGCTTCAAGGTTGGACGTGTTGTTGGTTCAGAGATGGTCTTCTGCAGACCTTGGTTGTAACAAGTGGTTATTTGAGTTACTGTTGCCTTTCTATCATCTTGAACCAGTCTGGCCATTCTCCTCTGACCTCTGGCATCAACAAGGCATTTTCACCCAGAGAACTGCTGCTTACTGGATATTTTCTCTTTTGCAGACCATCCTCTGTAAACCCTAGAGATGATTGTGTGTGAAAATCCTGTTTGGCGCCAACAACCATGCCACATTAAGAGTCACTTAAATCACCTTTCTTCCCCATCCTGATGCTCAGTTTGAACTTCAGCACGTCCTCTCGACCATGTCTACATGCCTACATGCATCAAGTTGCTGCCACGTGACTGGCCGATTAGATATTTGCTTAGTGGACAGTGGGACAGGTGTTTAATAAAGTGGCTGGTGAGTGTATCGTACATTTCACCATCTTGAAATTATGAGGCATTAATGAAGCAAATAGTTGAAATAAGCTTCACTTCTATCAGCTATGGAATAATACTTACACGTTAATGTATTAGTAATAACAACACAACATTATATGTATGATTGTGTACTTTCACTTTTGATGCTTTGGGGTAGACTTATTTTGTATTTTGAAATAATATTATTTATTCTTATTTTTTTAGAAAAGGATATGATTATTTATGATACAGCTCTTATACCGATATTTAATCATTATTAGTGAGAACAAAAAGTTTTTTCCACAAAGTTCCTGTTGAGGAAAAAAAAAAGTTTGCGCCCACGTAAACTCTGCGCGATGACGTCACCCGCATGCTCGCTCTGTGCTTGTTGTGGCGCTCCCTCCCTCCTTCCCTCCCTCCGCACCCCGTCCCTCCGCGCTGTCGCTGGAGTTAGCTAGGAACCGGAGGAAGGTCTATCTGTCGTGACAGCCCGTTCTCCTGAACTTTCCCGAGTCTGGCTTGTGTCTGAGAGACCGGGAGAGTGTTTCATCGGTGTTTTCGATGCATGGGAGTGCCCTGGGAGCGGCGAAGGGAGAAGGTAGGTCTCGCTGCGGCTGCTGCCGCCGCCGCTGCCGCCTCCTCTGCCGTCCGTTGGTCCGTCAGAGCTTTCAGTTCAGCCCCGGCCCGACTACCGCATTGCTTCCGACAGAAGTGATAAAGACGAGCAGTGTAGGCCTGGGTAACTTTATAACCGAGCAAACGTAACGTGAATATTACCGGTGTTTATGTTAGCGTGGCTAAGGCTGCGTGAACCGACCGTTTCTGACTGTGTTAAACCGCCGAGTGCCAGCGGTGCTGCGGCCGCGGTGTGTCATACACGGGTGACTTCATACCTTTTGTGTGTGTGTGTGTATCTGTGTGTACTCTAGAGTAGGCATGCTGCTTGAGGAAATCGTGAAGATTCTCAGCTTTACACCCATTTTGTATTACAACATAAGGTTGTCAGTGTACGTAGCTTCCCCCTGGACCCACTCTGAGCCAAATAAATGACATTTATATAGGCCGACTATGCTCAGGTTTTCAAACCAAAACCTCAGTTGCCACAAAACAGGTGTAGATGTGACGAAAGCTAACGCCGGTGCTATATTTTATTTGGCATGGTATGTCAGAGGCAGGTTTCAGCGTGTCAACAGATCATTCACCATGTGTACATGATGGGATTAATCTGTCATGTCTAAAATCTGAAGCATGTCAAAGCAGAAACCGGTTGGCATGGGTTGTGTTAGTCAGTGGGGTCATACACAATGAGTGCAGGATAGTACACACATGAAGGGATGACAAGATTGTGTCAAGAGCAACACATGTGTCACCTTCTTCCCATTAACACATCTTTAGCGTCGCCTCATCCTCTTCAAGAGACTGGTTTTACACCCCTAGCAGACATCTCTGGTGCAGCAGCAGCCTGGATGTAGTTTTACCCGCCCCTGTGTGTGTTTTATAACTCTGCCACATCAGGATGAGATGCTGAGGCTTCAGGCCATGCTAATCTGATATCATAGCCAGCTCACTGACTCCCATCCAGCTCCCAACTGAGAGCCAAGGCCACAGCGAACCCCAAGGCTGCCCTGGACTGAACTGGACAGTCATGATGAGCTTGGGATGAGGATGGTGAAGGTCACTTTTCTTATCAACTTCTTGATATAATAAGTCATGAATTACATGCCTTTTAAACTATAGATTTTAAGGGGCAATGAAAAAGAGAGCATTATGCTTGCCTGTCATCTTTTAATTCATATTTATTCTAAATAATAAGGTGACACATACTAATGCACATAACATTATGTCTCTTGCCATACACTTTCAGCACCCTGGCAACATACTGTCTTGCCTTATTGAGGCATTGTGTTATTTTAACATTGTTTTGTTTTCTCTGATGTCATCTTATCTGTTTAATATTTGACTAGTGGCAAATATGGCACCACACGTGGCCATCGGAGCTTCAGTGACAAATATTCACGCTCAATCAAAGCTTCGGGGAGAGACAAGTACATAAATTGGAGTTGTTGTTTTTTTTTTTTTGAACACCAGTTTTCAGTCGATTCACCTAAAATAATGTGGCACTTAGCCACTTTGTTAGCATGCAGGTTGCTGTAACCTTAGCTATAATATCTAGAAAAAAGTGACTGACATTAGATGAGAGCAGAGCTGAGTCACAAAACTATTACTAAGTTTAAATATTTTATCACTATTTCTTAATTTATGGACTGTCTGGGAATTTTGGTGATGGTAATGCATTTTTAAAATGAATATACGTGTGTGTATATAAAAACAGAGCATTCGAGTACAGATTTGAATGTTGATTACCATGGCAATGATCAAATCCTTGAAGTAATCCAGTTAGCCCTAAATGTTGTGCACTTATCTCAATTACCTGAAACTCAGTCAAACTTAAAGCAGGATATTTTGTAATAAAGAAACACTAATCAATTGATTAAGACCCCACAGTTCAGGCAAGTGTGAGAATTGCAACTGTTTTGGTTGACTTTGGGGCGACTGTAGCTCAGTTCCTAATAGGGATGTGTACGATTAGTCAACTTGTCAATTAAACTTAAATAAAACTACAATGAGGCAGGTTTCCTAAAGATTTATCTTCCTAGAGAATATAGTTTTCAACAAATGTGAGTAACTTTTGTTTAGTAAGTTGTTATCATGTTTTGTAGGATAATGCGCAATGATCATAATGCGCAGTGTGAAGTACCAAACATTTAGGTGGTATTTAAAATCTGATTTGGTTATATGAAGTTAAAGAATTTCCAAAGGCTTTATACATGATAGTTTTCTGGGCAATGTTTAACCCTACAGACTAAAGTTTCACTGTTTTCCGCGTGTTTCCTTGCTTTAAGATGAGTGGACAAGTCAAAGTTTAAACTTCCATTAAAATGTCAGGGAAATTGGTCGTTAGGAACATTCCTAGTTTGTATCTTGGTGGAACAGGTAAGTCCTTAGTTGTAGATTTAGGCCTTGTTTACACGGATACTGATACAAATAAAAACGGATTTTTATTCATGCCGTCTTACAAAAATTCCGGGTTTACACGATCAGTTGTGAAAACGATATCCCTGTATCCACAAAAACGCAAAAAAGGCAGCTTTTTGCTGCAGTTAGCATGCCAGGCCAGTAGGTGGCGATACGCCATATGTCAAATACTATAGAAGAACGTTGTGGGCATGCACAGTGATTTGTTTTCCTCTTGGCGGTAGTGATAAAAACAATGATAAACTACCTTTTAACCTTATGTAGCATAGTTAGCTGCTATGCACTCACTAATACTTGGCACAGCAGACGTCTTTGTGCGCCAATGTAGCGGTGATGTTGATGCAGCAGTGCTAAGTTCATTTGTC